AAGACCATAAACCCCCCCTCTTTGTTAAAGGCATGGTTGCACAAACGGGCCCATTTAAGGATGAGTGGACTCAACCCCCAAGAATCCTGGGAGATGAGGTCCACTCATCTTAAAGTGGCCAAGTTTGGACAACACTGCTTTAAGCAAAGGGTTGGGCTTGATGACCTTCAGGCTCCTTCCAACTCTGGAATTCCGTGATTCAAGTTTGGACATAAACTGCTGAGGGAGGGGGGAACGTTGCAGAACACACATGCCAGATTCATCCATCAGGCTAAGCCATGTAACACGATTTGCTTGGCTTAGCATCCACTTTGCAAACTAGGTTTTGTGGCTTAGTATAACATAAATGCTGGGATGCGTCCTGAAAGCCCAGAGGAAGAATAAAAGCTAAGGTCAGATCCCCCTCGCAGCAACCAGGAATGGCCAAAATAAGCTGGAAAGGATGCCCTCTGAGTTCATATTAAGAAGCAGGAATCTAAGAATTCCAGGGAGGAATTTTGCTTTCAAACGTGGAACCAATTTATAAGCAATTCAACGCCATTCGATTCTGGGTTTCATCTCCCCTCACTTTTCGTGACAGAGGGGATGTCAATCTCTTCAAAACATGCAGGCCAGTCTGCCCGTATTTAACGATGATTAGATAATCATCATCATCATCATCATCATCATCATCATCATTATTATTATTTACCTAACGATGATTAGCAATATCACCAATGTGAGAACCTCTAATATCTGATGTCAAGATGTACATAAACTGGCCTATCAGGAAAAAAGCCATCTATTGCATCCAAACCAAGTGTATCGAGTGTATCAACTTCTTTGAATTTGAGGACTCAAAGGGGATGCATCTGGAGGGGCTCCAGTTTGGAAAAGGCTGCTCTGGAGTACCTGATGGTGACCAGGAACTTCATCCCCTGGAGAAGACAGATACTGAACAAGGGAGCCAGCACTTGCCTGGTAGTGACGCAAACAGTCCCCAACACAAGAAAAACCAACCCACCTGAGGTTTTACCACTAACTTGCTCTTTTCAGCAGGATGATGGTTTTCTTGAACGGGAGTGTGGTAATCCCCCATATCCTGGGTGGGCGTGTTGGTGGTTGGAGTGGCAAATCCCAAGGGAGACACAGGAACGGCCGAGGGAGACGCAACTCCATGAGAACTCCGCTCATTGGTTTGAGGCCGGAGAGATGCGTCCGAAGGAATATGGGCAGCTGGGGGTGACGAAGCTGCTGGAGAGGTCCTTGGCGAAGCTGGGGAGGAAGATGTTGCACGCAGGCAGAGGTTAAGGGTGGGAGAAAGAGAAATGATGCAGTGAGGATGAGTACAGGCAGAGCAAACCTGGCTGCTTGTCATTAAAAGGGTTGGAAGGAGCACACACAGATGCCACTAAGCCAACCTTCGCCAACATCCAGATGTCCTGGGGCTGTAAGTCCCATCTACCCCCACTGGTAGAGAACCATCTCAGTCTTCTAGAGCATGTTAACTCTGGTACTATCTACCCCAAAGAGATTACAGCGTAAGTAACTCCCAGCTCCTGAGCACTTAGGAACACTGTTCTCCCTTCCTCACCAAAGTGACTTGACCTCCATGGCCAGAGCCATGTTTGGGATGGCACTGCAGGCAACTTCCTAGGAGGTGGTGAAGTTGCCAATCTCCTTGCCCAGCAGGCTCCTCTGCCCTCTTCAGTGTCAGAGAGACAGGCAGAGGCACAGAGTTGGCTCCGCAAGGCTAGAGGCGCTTTCCTCTTCTCTGCGTTGAGCCGCTGTCTTAGGCAGAGCAGCCCTGCTAAGGCTGAAGAGTTGGCAACCCCAGGCAGGCCTTTCCCTTCCTGGATCTCTCCCATCCTGGATGCTACTTAAGCCAAGCTCCAATTATGATGATTCTGCAGCCTCCTTGCTGCTGGGCAGGGCGAGAGAGGGACACCTTTATTCCAACCTCTTGTCAAAGATCTCACCCAAGAAGATGCTGGGGAAAGACTGTCCAGAGGGATTCCAGTCCCTGTTCGATGAGAATTCCAGGATGCAAAATGTTGACTTCAAAACATTTTGAGCTCAGAGCTGATGAAGCTTGGAGAAGGAATGTGGTAAACTAAAGGCTGTGTGGTAAACACCAGGTGCAGAAGAAACACGTGTTAGGCCCAGAGAGGTATTACAAAAAGACTCAGACTAATTTCTCCACCCTCCTACCCTCCCCCCACCCTCGTGGGAGGAGTGTTCCCACTCTTCAAGAAGCACCCCATGCTCAAAACTGCCTCATTTCATGTTTCCATGCTCAAAGTGGGGCTGCTGCAAGCTTGGAGCACTTCCAGGAGGAACAGCTATTTCAAGCTCCAGACGGAGTGTTTCAAATTCCAAATGCTTTGCAGGTCCCAAGGACACCTTACTGCAATGAGCACTATGGCAATTCCAGCACTGGAGGCAACGAGGCTGGTTGGAGGGGAGACAGACGCTAAACATCGGTGTGGGATGCCCGAAGCTGCCGAAGGGAGGGACAAGCCGAAGAAGGGAGCTGGCCTGTTCAGGAGTTAGGCCACAGGGTAACACAGCCTGCGGCACATGGGCTTAGTGCAAAGTCTCTCCTCCTGAGTGTAAAGTGTACTCCGTCTGAATGCAAAGTCTCTCCTCCCGTTATAAAGTCTCACTTGTGCAGGATGTCAGTCCGTCAAAGCAGGCCAGATCAGAAAAACAGGGTCCTCAAGAAGATTAGAGCTCTAGTAACAGATTCTTACAAGTTGGCCTGGGTCTTCCCTCCCGGGAGGGTGGGAGGAGCCTAGGAGGGTGGAGAAATTAGTCTGAGTCTCTTTGTACTACCCCTACCTCTCTGGACCTAACCCATGCTTCTGCACCTGGTGTTTACCTAGCAGCCTTTAGAACTCTTCTCCAAGGTCATTTCCATGGTCCCCAGAAGGAGAGGGCTACATGTTCCCCCAGACAATGCTTCTTTTTCTGCAGCCAGGGACTCTTGGAAGTAAAGAACTGATCTTCAGCTCCAGGAGGATAAGACCCCCAAGATGTACCTGTTTCCCACCAACTACCACTGCAATGGAATCGCCATGAAGTTATATCTTTCCTTAAGGATGAATCGCCTGTCTCTCTGCAGGGAGACTGGGATTTAACATCTTATCTCAGTGTTTGCTACCCCAGGCAAAAGACAGTATTTTGGGTAGGGATGAGCAATCTACACTCCACCCAGGCTCTGGTACTTCACCTGAGGCCCCCAAAGCCCTCCCAGACCTTTGGGCAGGGGGTCCCAAGGATGCCATGGCTGCCAACCTTGCAGAGATGAAGAACTAAGGCACTAAGAAGCCAACACAATGTGATTTGCACAAGAAGAAAAAGCAGCTTACGGGGCAGGTAACGGTCATAAACTTGTTGGAGCTCCTCAGCAAGGTCCCCCATGTGATCTTCCCTGAGAGCTTCTATCAACAGAAGCACCCATCCTTCCCTGGCCCACAGGTGTTGAAAGAAAACGAACACTGCCTGGTTGTTTCCGTCCCAGTCACAGGTCGCGCTGATCTTTTGCTATAAAAAAGGGAGAAGGGCCACGCACGCTTCAGGAAGGAGTGGGGGAGAAAGAGAAGAACACTTTGCAAAGCCCCAAATTGTTTGGGAAATCTCATCCAGGAAACTCGAATCAAAGAATTAATCCGAATAAAGTTAACCAGGGAAAAATAATTTGGCAGGGCAACAACAAGCTGGCATCTGTGATGTTACCAACGACACCTCTGCCCTAGAAGACTTACAGAAAATTTAAGGGTGAACATACAATTGAAGAGTAGGGGGATTTATTGCATTTATATCTCACCTCTTCTACGGGAACTCAAAGCAGCTTATATAGGGATCCCCCTTCAGTTTATCTCCACAACCCCCTTGTGAGCAGGCTGGGCTGAGAGACACCACCTTATCTGAAGCTATCCAGTGGTCTTCTACAGCTGAGCGTCAATCGGAACTTGGGTCTCCCCAGTCCTGATCCAACACCTTAACCCAGTGTTGTCCAAACTTGGCCACTTTAAGATGAGTGGACTTCAACTCCCAGCATGGCTGGCCTGGGGAATCTGGGAGTTTAAGTCCCCTCATCTTTAAGTGGCCAAATTTTGACAACAATGCCTTAACCGCTGCACCCGA